TATGTCAACAGTGTAGTCAGTGTCGGTGTCTTTCCCCTCTGACCTGCAGGGAAATGCTGACTATTTCATCACAAGTGGAGATAAGATCCGATTCTTCTTTGAGAAAGGGGTTTTTGATGACAAAGGTGAGTTCCAGTGAAATTCTTTCTACACTTTCTTTCATTTCTCATGCTGTGAAACTCCAAAATGAGATGATGCTTTTCTCACCTTGCAGGGGAGTTTATTGTACCCAAGCAGCGGTCACTAAATAAAGTTGGACATGGTGAGCTTTTGGGGTTTTCCAACAACACATAGCCTATAAACTGTTGCATAAAAATCTCCTAACTGCTAGTTTTGTTTTGTTTTTTTAGCACTGCATGCCTATGAGCCGTTGTACAAAAAGGTTACACATTCGCCCAAAGTCCAGGTGAGCTAACAGGTTGACGGAGTGTAAGAATGATTTACTGAGTCACAGAATAACTAACTGTCCAATGAAATGTCATTCTCCTAGGGCATAGCTAAAAAGCTGGGCCTAGTGAGTCCTGTGATTCTCCAAAGTATGTTCATATTTAAGGTAAATGGCCTTATACTGTTAGACAATGCTACATAATGACTTATTAAAACGTAAAGATTGAAATAAGAACCTTATCTTTTACAGCAACCAGGCATCGGTGGGGAAGGTAAGAAAATTCAGCAGAATATTTTTGTCAGTAATGAGTACACATTCCCGATCACATTTTTTAACCAAAGATCCCTTCTTATCCTTATTTCTGTCTCATATTAAAGACACTCAAATTTGGTATAAAAACACGAAAGTAAAAGCAAAAAGAAACTGACATAAAAACCTTGTAAATAATGGAATATTTACACCTTGGCCACATTATTAGGAATACCGGTAAAATTTGTTTTGCCATGAATTCCACCTTTTGTGAAACTTACATCTTTTTGCCTTTTGCTGATGGTAGTTTATGTTAACGGGGTGCTAAAATACTGCCATGACATTTCATTCTACTGAAAGTGAGGCATGAAAGTGACTAGCCTAAACACAGGTTAGCATTATTCTAAATCCCATCAATATTTGTTTTGTAATGAAGCTGAATTTAAGTCGCAGTTGGAACCTTGTTAAAGTTTAAAAGGTTCAGTGTTTTCCAGATGCTGTATAATATGACCTATATTTCGGGAGGCCATCCCATGACTGAAAATGTTTAATTTTGAAATTTATCCCTAAACGATGACAGAGCATCCACCATGTCTGCCACTTCTTTCTGTCCAGTTTCCTCAAATTCTTTAAGGACACACTGCACACTTTTGGCTGATAGCTGATTGGGAATTACAGTGTCAGTGACAAAATACAGTTTTATAGAAAGGAAATTAGAGATTTATTTTATGTCAGGCTTCTATTAACAAAGTAAATACGGTTCATCTGGTTAGTTAGATGGAAAACCTATAACAAAACCTTCAGTTTAGAGGTGGTTGTCTGTATACATTCATATAATTTTAAATTATATCCATAGCGGATTCTCATGTGTTTCTTAGTGACTCCACACCAAGATGCTACATTTCTGTACACGGAGCCCCTGGGCAGAGTTATGGGGGTGTGGATTGCCCTGGAAGATGCTACTATTAACAATGGCTGTCTGTGGTTTATCCCAGAATCACACAACAGTAAGTATCTACCAGAATGTCTGTATAGTGTATATGTTATCCAGCTACTGCTCTGCCACATATTTCTGAAATAGTTTTTAAGGTTTATTTATTGCATGTTATAATTTAATATTTTCTCTTTTTGCCCCAGGCGGTATCACTAGACGTATGGTGCGTACTCCAAAGGGCACCTTTCCCCTGACCGACTTTATCGGTAGAGAGCAGACATACGATGACGAGAAGTTTGTTGCCGCACCAGTGAAAAAAGGTCATTAGCATAAATCTAAATTTAGTCGGTGATTGATGGATGCATTTTTGAATTTTGTGACATTTTGCAACTGAAATTGTAAAAAAAAATGTTGTTGCTTATAAAGAAACTTTTGACCGTCGACAGCTCAGGACAGTTCACCTTAGATTAAATGCCATGAGTTTTTTTCTTTTTCTGCACTGTTATAAAAATAATACACACCAAACACCATATTGACACTTTTTTTTTTGTTTAAATTAACAAAAAAAAAGTGACTTATCAAACTCTGGAAGTTCTGGTAGTTTAAATTAGATTTTTTTTTACATTTGGAGTCTTTATGCTAAGCTAAGCTAACTGGCTAGCTGCTTTAAACATGCTAAGAATTGCATTAATCTTTATATTCTCTACCTTGTAAACTAAGTTCAGTTCAATTAAATGCTATTTATATAACCAAGTCACAACAATGTGCTTTATAGTGTAAGGTAAAGAAACTAGAGAGAAAACCCCAACAATCAGATAACATCCTGTGAGCAAGCACTTGGCAGCAGCGGGAAGAAAAAAAACTCCCTTATAACAGGAAGAAACCTCCAGGAGAAGCAGCCGCCTGCTGCGACCTGCAAAATGTTTTCAGGTCTTCAAGTCTGAGGAAATGCTGAAACAAAAACATGACTGTTAGAATAATTGGTCACAAAAGTAGAGTTAGCACTGCATTACTGAAATAATAATAAAATGGGGCAGGGATAGCTCAGCGGGGCAGGGATAGCTCAGTAGGTAGAGTGGTGGCCCCATGATCGGAAGGTCGGGGGTTCGATTCCCCCGAACAGCTACCCTGAGGTACCCCTGAGCAAGGTACCGTCCCTACACACTGCTCCCCGGGCGCCCAATGGCTGCCCACTGCTTCACTGAGTGAATGAGTTAAATGCAGAGAGGGATTTTCCCCACGGGGACCAATAAAGTACACTTTCTTTCTTCTAAAGCTGTTCAAGTTGGTCAGCTGTTGCTCATTCCCTTGTTCAGGTGGTGTCATCCTGATCCACGGACAGGTGGTGCATCGAAGTGCTGAAAACACCTCTGAAGAGTCTCGTCATGTCTACACCTTCCACATCATGGAAGCCCAGCAGACCCGCTGGAGCCCTGACAACTGGTGAGACTTTATCCGTGTGGGCTGGCCTTGTGACATTTCTTTTATTTGACTACATATTTCTTGCAAGTGATTGTCTCAGTTAACATGTAGTAAAATAGGGATGTTCCTCATTAATTTGTTTAATGTCAGTTTTGTGTTGATGCACACGTCAAGTAGACTTCATACAACATATCTAGATTTGTATATGTCAGCATTTAGTTTTGTATGGAAAATCAGTGTTCTCTCATTAATGCAAGCTTTATGAAACAAGATGCTCCAAAGAAATTTCCCAAGCCTGACCTGTCCATCTTATTTCCATCTCTTTGGTCCTGTAAGGTTGCAGCCCACTGAAGACCTCCCTTTCCCACCTCTCTACACTTGAAGGATTCTTTGGCATCCGGTGCTGCTCCCAAAGAATAACCAGCATCTATGATATTATCATCAAGGAAAAAAAAATCAGATAATACTGTTTCATTAACTTCCCAAAGAATGGCTGTGCTTGCAATATTCTTCTGATAAGGGTAAAAGGATCTTATTACACAAGAAAACTATAGGCTGAATCCTGAGCTCAGCCTATTGTTCCTGTATCGATCGTTGCCAAGTGTTATTCATGACCCATGATAGCAAAGACATAGAAAAAATAGACATGTATAAATAAGATATACTACCAGTCAAAAGTTTGGACACACCTTCTGATTTAATGGTTTGTCTTTATTTTTATGGCTGTTTACATTGTAGATTCTCACTGAAGGCATTGCAACTGTGAATGAACACACATGGAATTATGTAGTTAACAAAATAAAAGTGAAATACCTCAAAACATGTTTTTTATTTTACATTCTTCAACATAGCCACCCTTTGCTTTGATTGCTGCTTTGCACACTCTTGGCAGTCTCTCAATGAGCTTCATGAGGTTATCACCTGAAATGGTTTGTGTCCAAACTTTTGACTGGTAATGTAAATCCATCCATTTCTCTAAACTTGAACAATTTGGAGTCACTGGGCTACTGAGAGGTGGCTACACCCTGGACAGGTTCACAGTCTATTGCGGTCTATTCACACCTATGGTCAATTTAGAACCACCAGTTAACCTAACTTACATGTTTTTGGAGTGTGGGAAGAAGCCGGATTACCTGGAGATCACTCACATAGGCATAGGGAGAATAGACAAACTGCACAGAGGTGGTCCCCAACCCCAATCATAAGCCCTGTGCTGTGCTGTCTGCAAAACATTTTTGTTAATATCTTAAACTTCCAGAATAGTTCTTCTGGGGGACATTCAAAATGAATGTTTTGATATGCTTTGCCACTCAATACAATTCTGTTTATAAAGCACTAAATCACAGTTTTATATTTATATAAAATATAGATTATATTTTAGGGTAAAGAACCTACAATAATGAAGAGAAAATCCCAACAATCTGATGACTCCCTATGAGTGAGTACTTGGCAACAGTGTGAAGGAAAAACTCCCTCTTAACAGGAAGAAAGCTTCAGAATTACCAGGAGCAGGGAGGGAATACCATGTGCCACGACCTTTAGGAAGTGATGAGGGAAGGAAGACCCAGTTGAGCATTTCTTTGAAATGGTGTACATCTGGGAAAGAGGCTTTGAGATGCATTTTTTTCCTTGGTCATGTCAAAAGTGACACATGCTCATCACGTGTATAGTAACCATATATTTAAAGGAAGTCCAGGCCATGGATTAGCTGCTGTGTTCTCTGCAGGTTTCAGGCTGTTAACAGCAGCAGGTTTGCAGTTGAAAGACTACACCTAAACTTTCTTGCATGCCTCAAGAAAACAGCTCAACACCAGACTGATTTTGCAGCATGCAGCATTATAATTATGTTAACACTTGAAACCATGTTTTAATAACATTGTAATAAGTCTGTTAACTCCATATTTAACCAGCTTTCCTTCCTGGCTTTAAATAGACTTTATTGATATTGCACTTTTTCAGTCAAAACACTTAAAGCACACACACACATTCATAGGATTTTTTAAAAAAAAATTACATACTGTACAGCGCGTTTTCGATCAGTCTCACACGCTGCTGATTGGCTGCAGCAGTGTTGCTTTCATCCGATATACTGTGTTTGAAATTTTTGCATTTTTGTGCCGATTTGATCGTCCTTAGGAAAATATACTGTTCTTCCGCCAGTATTCCGGTTTGACAAATTCAGTCTGTGCATCTGCTTAGCCAGTCTGCTTATGTCAAGTTATCACAAAAAAAATCGCAAGCTTGGCCAATCTCTGGTTCCTTACTAACCAGCATTTAGACTAATAATTTTTTCTAACTTAATTATAAATTTGCTGGAAAAGTGTTTTAAATTGTGGCTGAAATTTTTTTTTTAAATAAACATTTTTTTTGATCAAGTCTCCATGGAGATTTCACTGTGCAACTGACATTTCCACCCACCTTTATTAAGCATTTCTTCATCAGCATTGTCAACAGCTTTATTCTTGTGCAAGATCTTTTTAAATGATTTGTGCCCAAATAAGACAATGAATTCCTCCATTTATAGACAACAGTGAGCATCTCTGCTTTCAAGTATGTTCATTTTAAGACCCAACTTAAAATGAAAAAGACAAAGCTTTATGTACGCAGCATTCAAACTCCTCGTGTTAGTGTCACAAATCAAAATGAAAAAGCGAAGGGATAATCTTTGTGTTGTTAAAATACAGTCGCTCACATAGGTCCTACATCTCAATCCTCAAAAAAACAAAACAAAAACAATAACAACACCCCCCCCCCAAAAAAACCCCCAAAACAAGCTTTGTTTGTTCTCAGATGTTCTGAAACATGCAATACTAAATTTTTCTTTCAGAATGTAAGAATGTTGGAAAAAGAAACACACCAGCAGGATCAGGCTAATAAACATCATCAGAACATTAAAAACAAACAAACAAAAAAAAAGAAACACTTTTTACAGATGAACTGAAAACAGCTCCATTTCCTTATCTACAAATGACGAGATCAAACCCAATAGAAATTATAGTATATTGCTATAAAGCACATAAAACAATAATTTAGAAGTAACTCTTGCTGTAAAAGTTGCCAAAACGTAAAGGCCTGTGTGCATGGGTGTGGCCCAAAAGCATATCTACAATGTCCAAAAACCCCCCAAAACACTAAAGGCTCAGTATTACAAGGAAATGTAGATATTTAAGGGGTGCAGGGTCCCATTAAACCACAAACCGGTAAGCAAAGTCGATTTATCGGACAAAAATATATGCGGTAGGACAACCGGCATACACATTACAGTACTGCATTATCACATCAGTCTCATGCAGGAGCATAGTGTGTTTCTACCATATATAAGTATAAATCAGCCCTTTAAATAAGAGTTGAAAAGGGGCTGCCATGCTAGCGTCTACAGCTTCTATTATGGTAGGTTGTGTGTGATAGAAAATAGACTTCTTAAGGCAAGTATTTTCAGAAGAAACTTCTTCATATTGCCATCAGGGAGGCAAACATAATAATAAAGACGTGAGAAAGTTGATTAAAAGACATATCAATAATTTAAAGTTAACTTATGTTCTTCGAAAGGCAATACAAGGCATGTATCTGTTTACGAAATAAAAACGACAGGACATTTTGAGTGTTTCTTGCCGATTATAAAAAAAAATGGATTTCTATTTAAGAAACACTTTTTTTCCCCCCTCCACACTTTGCTAAACTGAGTCTCCCGTTGCATAATTTAGGAGCTGTTGGTGTCGGTGGCAGAGAAAACATACGCCACCTCTGTCGCAAGGCTCAGACTTGATCTAAAATGTTCCACTGGTCATTGGAAAGGATACTGAAAATGATCTAAAGACAACAGACTGTCATGCCAACACTGTCGCATGTAAAGGTTTGTCGATACCCTGGTCGGTTAATCTGACTGCTTTCAATCGCATTGTGCTGGTCAAAAATAACTACCGATCATCTCCACAGACTACGAAAGACAGCTTTTTTTTTGTCCCAAGTTCACCACCAGAAATGGCTGAGAAACAGGCAGTGGATCTGCTTGTTTGTATGATCGGTCCATTCAAAGCAACAGGAGGATGAAGAGGTAGAGTGGAAGCAGCAGGTTGTCTATTTGGGAGGTGTAGGCTTCCAGCATGGCCACCAGAGTGATGGAGCCAACAATCCATGAGTAGGTGGTGTTCAGATTGATGCTGCTGTCAAAGATGAGAAACATGGCCACGGCGATGATCTGGGCGAACACAGATGTCGCAGTCCCCTCTAAGGTTTTCTTGGTGCCGGGCCAATGGATCTCCCCCATGGTACTGCCAAACACAGAGGCCACAGTGTCTCCAACTCCCACCGCGAGCACACCTGCATAGGGCACCAGGCCACCCGCCCCTGGAAGTATTCCCTTAGGGGCACAGGGTCCAGGAAACAGCCAAATGGGCAAAGACATGCCCAGTAGCAGGTAAATGTGGGTGAGGATGAGAGGCCCAGAGTCCCGCTCGTCCAGGAACAGAGTGAGCAACTGCCTGAGCAGCTGACCGAAAGGCCTGATTCGAAAGTAACGCACATACTCCAAGAACAAGAAAACCGCCAGGCAACCCACAGATGCCACGTGGAGCAGCTGCCTGTCGTAGATCAACCCTGGAATGTAGGTGGCCACTACAATCAGATGGAAGTACTTCCTGACGATGGTCGACGCCTGGTGCTTCTTGGAACCCGACTGGCGCTGATAGTTCTGATGTAGCACAACGCAACTTGCCACGACAGACAGAAACACCCAGTACGCCAGCAGGCAGAGTCTCCTGTCATTCAACGTGATGAAGTCCAACAACCACATGAGGGGGTGGCGACCGATGAACAAAGACAGCCAGGGCATCAAGATCCCCAGACCCAGAACGGCTGTCATCATGTGAAAGAAGAGCGATGACCCCCAGCTCTCAGACTCCATGAAACAAAAGAGCAGGGCAAAGAAAACGCCCAGCAGCAGCGAGCCCACCACTAACACCGGGAGGAAATAGTTCACCGGGTCACCTTTGACCTCCGCCAGGTTCAGGGAGCGCTTGATTAGCTGGTTCACGATGAAGCTGATCCCACCGACAATGAGGAGTGCCTCTCCGGGCGTGAAGCAGCGTGGCAGCAGATAAAGCACAATCAGGCTGAGATAGACAAAGATCAGCAGCACCTCCAAGACCTCTATGACCTCAGACACCGTCAGGGTCTGCTTTGTGGTGTAGAGAATTGCGCTGCCGGCCATCCCTGCAATTACACAAGTGTTGGTGGGAACAGGTCTTGTGATTCCCAGTGCAATCAGGGAGAGGAACAGGGCTAGCATCATGCCTGTGATGGTGACCACCATGGAGAAGCGCTCAAAGTAGACATTCCCTGAGGCAGAGCACTTTTCTCTCAGTACCAGGCCCAACAAAGGCATCACCATAGAGGCCGGAACGATGCCGCTGTTCGCTGAAGGGCGAAACTGGAACACAGCACCCCCAGACCTGAGCAGACGGTCCCATTTATGCTGCACATAGAAAGCCTGTATCACCAGGGCTATGCTGCACCAGGAGTGCTGGTTCCAGACCGCCATGTGGACACATAGTACCACTGCCAAAACTACAGTGGACTCCACGTGCACCGGGTTGATTTGCATGGCTGCAGGGTGGGTGCTCACAAAGAGGGAGGAGGGTTGATCTGAACAGATGGTGTGCAGCAAAGAAGGCCTTCTTCTGTCACTTCCTCTCTCTCACAGGCTTCATAATTTGGAAGGTAACTTTCCTTTGCTATGGATGTCCGAGGAAAAAGGGGAAAAAGTGTTAGCATTTAAGAGAAAAAAAAATACGGATCACAACAAACAGAATAATGTGAAAAAATTACAGATTCAAATGCTACTGTACTGAATGCTGAGTCTTTTCTTGCTTATTCTAACTCTGAACCTTGATCATGCTTTATCTGCTTCCTGCCATGAACTATGACCACACTGAATATTCACCCCGTCAGTGAGAAATTCACACAGCTCAGATAGCACGAGTAAAAGGCCACACATGAAACACATGTTCTTTCCACATCAGCTGCAACCTTTTGTTCCTGTGGGGGTCGGAGTTTGAGCTGTCTGTGTAGTGCGAGTTCTGTGTCAGCTATGGAGGCTATGCTTAACAAATGGTTATGAAAGCTGAAGGATACATTAGGGAAAGAAAATAAAAACAATAAAACTCCAGTTTGTTTCATTCATTCATACAGCCCAATGGGGCCAGATAATTCTCCCTACACCGAGGAACGCGTCTCTCTGGCAGCCGAGGATGCTTTAACCTCTGACGGCATCAAGCTAACGGCAGACTAACAAGCTCACTGTACAGAGCTAGCAAAACGCCAGCAGTAACTACTGGCAGCACTGACGCACAATACAGGCTGACAAAGACAAGCGTACATACCATACAAGCGCTGCGTTGTCTGAGCGGACGTGTGCAGTGAATTGCTATGAATCGGTGCCGTCCTTTCTGGACAGATTTGTTTCCTTTGTCAGCTGTCGGTCCTCTCACACCCAGTAGGAGGGGGCCATCTTTGACAGCCGGGTCACGTGGTACACTAAAAAAGTATCTCTTAAAGTCGTTACTTTTAAAGATTGTTTTAAATTTACTTTTTAATCTTAAAATTTGTGAAATAATTATATCACTATAAAGCGCATACTTTAAATAAATAAATAAAAATATGTATTTATTTATTTTGGTCAAATTCAGACTTCTCAGGCTATTTTATACATGTAATACGTGAATAATTATTTGTAAAAATTAATTACCCGTAAGTCCAGAGGATCGCTTTGATACATGATATACTGAATTATGGAGTTAGGGGGAAACACAGAAGTTTTGCCAAAATGTAGCATAAATATTTTCGAAAAGGTATGGAGGCGATTGGGATGTGTTTATTTTACTCCAGAGGATGGCGTTAAAGTTAAACTCAGGACGGCCGCTGTTTCACGAAGAAGAACAAGGCGCCCAGCCGTTGGCTCCGAGGGTGACGAAGGCGCTTTCGACGTCACTGATGAGCCAGCACAACAACCAATCACATAGCAGACGCGAAGATGGCGGAATTGGAGATGAGCGTCAGGTAGGCACATAGCAACTTACTTTAGCTAAAGCGTGCGTTGTTTGAGTTATTTTTGCAGCGTTTTTCAGTGGGTATCATTTCTACACAGCGCTCCTGTTTACTAAATCAGACCAGCAGTGATGTGTATATTTCACTTTTTGCGTTTGAGCAGTTAGCACCACGCTCACTTAGCTTAGCAAGTACTAGCCGCTAAAGATTTGAATGGCTTTTCAGTAGCGCGGTGTGCCAGCCGCATGTCAACAACAGCATACCGCCACTGCAAACTGTTTACATTAGATATTGTATTAACAGCGCTGGTTTATTTAAAGACACCGTACTTACAGCGAGATAAAGCCGTCGACTCTCCGTTACATTCAGTAACCGCTGGGCTTGCTTAGTTGGTGTTAATTGAGAAGCTAACTCTACTGTTTTGATACGGTCAGGAAAACAGCTGAGTTAGGTTTAAAATCTTTAAACTTGACCTCCAAAACAAACTAAAAAGAGTTAGACTTGACAACAAATCGCAAAAGCCTATCCATCTCTGTAAGTACAAATAAACTAATTTAGTTTTAGGGAACGCTGATGAAGGGCTATCATTGAAGAGAGGTATTTAAAACATATCCATGAATATCATAATAACAAGACAACAGACTCATATTGAGGACCCCAACAAATGTTTATGTATGCAAACATGTATTGAGCTTTAAAGTACCGGTGACATCTCAAGTCTGGTCAAAAACTATGCTGCCATGGACAGCATTTTTATGTTGTTGTCTTAGTACCTCACCACAGTAGATGTAAAATAAATAACTAAAATGTCATCAAACTGCACACTTTGAGTTCTAATTTTGCACAAGGTTTACCAAAAAAGTTGCATTAACTGTGTAGGAATTACAGTGATTGCTTTAAATAGTCTGTTCATTTTCACACACTCTAAACTAACATGATTAGAAATATAAAGATAATCGTTATTTTTAATGCTTCCATGGAAATCTTTCTGGACCCTATGGACATACTGAGTTTCCTATCCTTTTTTTTTTTTCTTCCCACAAAAAGTGAGTCATGTACGAAAATGGGGGGGAAGTGTTTATAGTTTTGGGAAGTAGGTCTGTCTTTTTGTTTGATGGCATCAGGGCAAGTTTGTTTTGCTTTGTTCAGTTTCTTTCAAACATGTAACCAATTCATAGAAAGTTATTCTTTTTAAAATTGAACAAAAAATAGCTGTTTGTAAATAAACTAAAACAGGGTACAATATTGCTACACATTAGCTGATTTAGTTTACATATTTGAAAAAGGGTGGACAGAAGTGCACACTTATTAAATCCCACACCTTCATCCCTCTTTAGTTAAAAGGCTCAGTTCTAATAACTGTAAAAACCTTAATGCATTAATCCCAATCGTTGCTTTTCTAAAATAAACCAATTTGTTTCCCAGGAGCTGTAGGGAATTATGGACCATATTGCTGGGGAGGTCTGCGTTGAGAGAGCCGGTATGTCCTTGTTGAAGAAAAGTGTCCAGCACATAACAAGTGTGCTGGACTCTTTACTGCTCCAAAAAAATAGCTAGTTGTAATGTTTTCTTTTTTAAAGGTAATAAAACAATCACAGTGATTTTTCTCTCTGTTATTAATGTTGGATGGTCACAGGCTCAGATAGAGGTAGAGCTCGACAGACACTGGGATAGACTTCATCAAGGACTTAGTTACTACAAGCCACCCAGGTATAGTTACAGTTATATTCACATCAAATTTACTGTAGTTAATAACCAAAAGGTAACTGCAAGCATCACCTGTTACAGCTCATCCTCTGCTGAGAAAGTAAAAGAGAAGAAAGATGTTGCACAGCCCCTGAAGGACTTTGGTCTAAGGATCAGTAAATTATTGGTAAGACTTCAAAATGTCAATCAAGAATGATTTCCAGTCTTTATTTTGTAGTGTGTATTTAATGATGATTTCATGTTACAGAGTCTCGATGAACAGCAGAGTGTTCAGCTTTTGCAGTGCTACCTACAGGAAGACTACAGAGGAACCCGTGATTCATTAAAGGTATCTGTCCTGACAGATATTTTCATTGTGAAATCTGTCTGAACTTGTAGCTTTCAGTGAAACTGAGATTTGCCGTTGCATCACAGGAACAAAAAATGTAAGACCGTAAAAAGATGTTGTGAAAGACGTTTCGATGTTAAATGAATACCTTTTTTTTTTTCTTTTGTAGGTTGTACTCAAGGATGAGCGGCAAAGCCAGGCACTACTGCTTAAGGTCAGTACACGGATCTTCTGCTTTTCTTGACACAGCACATGTTTAGTTCAGTAAGTATGACAGCTTTTGTGTTTGTTTTTGCAGATAGCAGACTATTACTATGAGGAACGCATGTGTTTGCTCAGATGTGTCCTTCTCCTGCTCACATACTTTCAGGATGAGCGACATCCCTACAGGGTGAGAAGCTCCAGTCTTAGCATTACTCACTAAATTGTGGAACACAGCTTTTAAAAAACTAATTGTGCTTGGGATTGTTGTTGCTTTAGTAATGTAACCTTAGTTATGTTATGTTGTTTAGGCTGAGTACAGTGACTGTGTCAAAAAGCTGGAGAAGGACCTGGTGAGCAAATACCAGTTGCAGTTTGAGAGTCTCTTCAAGGCAGAGGCACCAACATGGGAAACTCACGGAAACCTCATGGTGATGACACAAGTTTGGTTGGCGTTGGCTTAATATCCTTCCTATTGCGAGGTAGCTGTGGGAGATATTTTCCTGTCAAGGATGCAAAATAATGTAGATATTTTTTTCAGACGGAGCGGCAGGTGTCAAGATGGTTCCTGCAGTGTCTGAGAGAACAGTCTCTGCTGCTCGAGATCATCTTTCTGTATTATGCTTACTTTGAGATGAACCCATCTGACCTTCTGAACTTCACCAAGATGTTCAAAGAACAAGGCTTCGGTTTGCGGCAGACTAACAGACACCTGGTAGATAAGAGCATGGATGCGTTGGTCGACCGGATCGGGTAAGAGGCACAAAGTTTATGTGCGGTTCATGTCTTTCCCAGATATTTTTAATTGACAGACATTATGAAGACATTTCAGTATTTTCATTATTACAGTGACATGACGTCTTCCTATACAGAGAGTAATCATCAGTTGATTCATATTCAATAGACTTTTTTTACCGGATATGTCAGAAACCTAAATATTTCATTCCTTCCGTAGTTTATGATGTCCTGTCTGTCTCTCTGCCCGGCAGATACCTGAGCGCGCTCATCCTGGTTGAAGGAATGGACATAGACTTCCTGCACAAGTGTGCTCTTGAGGATTGTACAGATCAGCACCAGTTCTCTAGTGCTCCGGCCGTGGTTAAGGTTCAGTTTGTTTTTTGGCTGCTGCATTCATAGACTTAGTAATGTTAATATTGGTTCACAGACTTGTCTTACAAAGTGAAACATTTAAATAAATTAGGCTAAAATTGGCTAGGCCTCTGTTAACTCACGCAGAGCATATAATGAGAATGTGTTTAAATACTCATAAGAATTGTTGGCTCTTCTAGGAAATGGATCAGCTGCTACTGACATTTGGTGACATCCCTCATCACGCACCGGTATTGTTGGCCTGGGTCCTGCTAAGACACACACTTAGACCAGATGATACCAGCCCTGTGATCAGGAGGATAGGCAACACCGCCCTCCAGCTGGGTGTTTTCAAGTACCTTTCAACAATGCTCAAAGGTCTTGGAGTCTCAGGGAACAATGTAAGATATTTCAGATTGATTGACCCTTTAGAAGTTTATAAGAAGCAAATTTACAAAAAAATTCTGTTCAATTAAAGGAGAACTCCCTCTGTCATCTGTTATGCTGCCTCTGTTATCTGACATAGCTTTAAATTATGTCCTGCTGATACACACCTTTGTTCTTTCACAAATCATAAGCCATGCTTTAAATAAAGTCCATGCAGCATGAGCAGTAGTGGTAAAGAACGCTCAGGGTGCTTCTGTTTGTCATCAGCAGCTAATGAAATCACTAAGTGCGCAGATCGAAACCAATCTATAATGAAGTGTCCAGAATGAAAACCTCCTGTTACAATAGTAATGTATTATACTGATCATCATGCATCAGTTTCCTTAAACATGCTAAACTTCAGACCTCAGGTTTCATAATGATTTCTTTCAAAATCTGTAAAGTAATGCTGCACTTTTACAAATTATAGATAGAAATGTAAGTAGCAACCAACATTTGCTCAAAGAGTGGTGACTGTCTTGTTTTCCATTAAAATTCCATCATTTTTTTCACTTTTTATTTCTTCAGTGTACAGCAAGCACAGCAAAAATGTGCGTCTATGGTCTCCTCTCATTTGTGATCACCTCTTTTGAAGAAGAAAGTTTACAGGTATGCACCTTGACTCTACATGTCTTGATCCTCACAGACCTATTTATAACATGTGGTGATAATTTGCTTTCTTATGATGTATATTACAGACTGATGGTGTGGCGACTCAGAGCTCCC